TGTATGTGGTGTGTGTGGGGGGTGTGTGGGGTGTGTGTGAGGTGTGTCTGGTATGTATGTGGTGTGTGTGGTGTCTAATATGTGTGTAGTTGTCTAGTATGTCTGATGTGTGTGTGGTATCTAGTATGTCTGGTGTGTGTGGGTGTGTGTGTGTGTCTAGTATGTGTGTGGGATGTGTGAGTGTGGTGTATGGAGGGGGAATGTGTGTGGGCACGTGGTGTGTGAGGTATGTGTGGGGGCACATGGTGTGTGTATATATGTGTATATATACATGTGTGTGTATATGTGTGATGTCTGGTATGTGGTGGTGTGTGTGGGTGTGGTTTGTGTATATGTGTGTGATGTTTGGTATGTGTGTGATGTGCGTGGGTATGGTGTGTGTGTGATGTCTGGTATGTGTGTGGTGTGTGTATGTGTGTGTGATGTCTGGTGTGGGTGTGGTGTGCGTGGGTGTGGTGTGTGTGGGTGTATGTGATGTCTGGTATGTGTGTGGTGTGCGTGGGTATGGTGTGTGTATGTGTGTGTGATGTCTGGTGTGTGTGGGTGTGTGGTGTCTAGTATATGTGTGGTATCTAGTATGTCTGGTGTGTGTGGGTGTGTGTGATGTCTGGTGTGTGTGATGTCTGGTATGTGTGTGATATCTGGTGTGTGTGTGGTGTGTGTGGGTGTGTGTGATGTCTGGTATGTGTGTGGTGTGCGTGGGTGTGGTGTGTGTATGTGTGTGTGATGTCTGGTGTGTGTGGGTGTGGTGTGTGTATGTGTGTGTGATGGCTGGTGTGTGTGTGGCGTGTGTGGGTGTGTGTGATGTCTGGTATGTGTGTGGTGTGTGGGTGTGGTGTGTGTATGTGTGTGTGATGTCTGGTGTGGGTGTGGTGTGTGTATGTGTGTGTGATGTCTGGTGTGTGTGTGGTGTGTGTATGTGTGGCGTATGTGTGGGATGTGCCCGTGTTGGGAGTGGAGGCCTAAGGCAGAGGCGCCAGGTGCTTGGCCCTCAAGAGGAGAGTCCAGCAGGGGAACCCAGTGGCCTCTGGGTCATGCTGTCAAAGGCCCAGGGCTGCCCAGCAGGAGCCAGGTGAGTGGAGCTCAAGGCCACCGCGCGCACCCGAGGCACAGCACCGATCTGCTGACCCTAGGTCTCCAACAACCTCACTCCCTACCAAACACTCCCCCTGGACCAGCAGAGCTCAGGGCCAGCAGCCTGGCACAAATGCCCAGAGTCTCACCCCTGCACTTGGTCACGGTGCGGAGCAAGGAAGCTCCAGATCCACCAGGGCACCGACGCCACCCAAAGCCTTCCTGCGTCTTACCCCTGATCCCGCGGGTACAATGTGGCAGGGGGCTGGGCACTGCACAGGCTTGAGGTGAGGACACCGGTTACACAGGTCAAGCACCAGGAAGGGCCAGCCTCAGTATGGGCAGCAAATGTCCACAAGCAGCAATGTGGACCCAGGGCGACGGGCCTTCAGGCGGGAGCAGGGGACCGGTGCCCAGGTGCGAAAGCAGAGGCTCCTGCTGGATGAAGCCCTAGACTCACCAGCCGCCAGTTCTCAGGAAAGTGGAGTGAAGGAGCAGAAATAGCCCCTGCAAGCCCTAAGGCAAGCCCATGCTGCCTGAGCTCCTCAGTGGGCAGGCTGCAGGGGCGGGCTGCACAGGGCCGCTGGTCCCCCAGGACACATCCAGGCTGGAGGTGCCAAACCAGTCTTACAAACAGCCCCAAGGATAGAACTGGCCTCCACCAGGCGACTCGCACACAGACCCGGGGCTCACGGACGCATGCCCCTCAAGGTCAGCCCAACCACATGGGCCACCCCGARGTCCGTGCATGTGGATAAAAGGACATGCATACCTGGTAGGCAATCTCTTCACATGTGCCTGATGAAGACTGTGGGGTGTGGCTCACCAGTATGACTTGCGGTGAGCCCGCTCCACCTTGGCCCGAGAGAGATGGATCCGTGAGTAGCGCTGGGAACTGCTGACCCTGGCCAAGAATTGTGTTAACTTTAGAAGAATTGGTATTATTTTATTACTCATTCAGATCATTCCCAAGTAAGCAGAAATTCAAAAGATCTTTCACGGTGCAGCCACTGTGGGAAGAAGACTCACCAGACAACACAGCCATCCCAAAGAAAGAAACCTAGTCCACTGGACTCCTGTGGACAGAGGTCAGGGCAGCACTGGGACAGCCAAAGAGGGATCACAGTGCAGACGCCACCAACTGAAAAATGCACGGACGCGTAAAGGCATATATGTGGTGGTGACAGTTTTGGGTGACAGTGTTCCCCAGAGGCTCATGGACTGCACAAGGGCTTGGTCCCCGATGCAGCAATGCTCCAAGGTAGAGCCTAGGGAGCAGCTAGATCACAGGGATCTCCTCTCTCTCCACTGAGGGGTTCTTAAGCAGATGGGCTCCTGGGAGGTGGTGGACACTGCTGCCCTGCGCCTCACTCTGTTTCCCAGCTGGGATGCGGTGAGCAGCTGTGCTTTGCCCTTCCCTCAATGTCCATCACCAGCACGGCGACCTGAAAGCCAAAAGAAATCTGCCTCCTGTGAGTGGCTTTCCAGGTGTTTTGTTGCAGTGACGGAGCGTGACACAGGGGTCTCTAGACAGAACGGAACGTCACTGGGCAGTAAAAAGACATGGAGCAACATGGAAGAACCTAGAAACCATGCAAACTGAAGAACAGAGTCACACAAGCCCGCCTGCCCTAGGATTCCACAAGTGACCAACAGGTAGAAACGGAGGAGCCAAATGGCTACCAGGGGAGAGGGATAGGAGAGGGCTGGGCAGCCTGGCAGGGAGAGCAGGGTGTGAGGGACAGTGCACCAGGCTGCTGGGGGGTGGAAGTGTTCTCCACCTAGACCAGTGACGATGCCCACGTGTGCTGCTCCCTGTCGAGGGGCATCCCATCTACTACACACAGATGAGCAGTGAGCATCCTGGCACCTATGTCTTTGGAACCTGGGCAGATTTCTTCTTCTAAACCAGGTCTTCSTACCTATGAGTTGACGGGGTACAGTGTGACACAGGGCTGTGAGAACAGAATGTGCAGTGATCAAGGGGAGACATCGTGTTTCCTCCTCCTGAGAATCCTAGAATTCCCCKCTCCCAGTGCTTGATGACCCAGACCCACATGTCACCTCAGGTGACACAGGGTGTTCTTTTTCCTGGTTACATGGTGGAATTCAGATAGGCAAAAGCTGACCCTTATATAAGTGGGTAGACCCAGTGGAATGCCAGTAATACTGCAATTTAAGTATTGACTAACAACCTGCAAAAAAATGGATGTTCCTTTGTTTTAAGAAAAAGATTCAATTTGGCTATCATACACAAAATGGATGAGTCTCCGTGAAACCAGCACCTTTACTGTGAGAGTAGAGATAGTTGTGGGGAAAGACACTTCAGCAGGCAACAGCAACTAGAATGGCCCAAGCAATAAATGCCTGACTGACACAGTAACCCAGGGAGCCTGAATG